GCATTCACTTTGAGAGGCGACAATAAAAGGAAAGTTTTGACAAGTGAAACCATTAACCAGGGTGTTGGCCAGATATGAGGAAGAGAGTGGAATAGGAGTGGAATGATTAAAGGTGTATGAGAGGATAAAGAATGTGTATCTACCTTTCACACTTGAACTCTGTGATGGGCCGTAACAAATATTCTGTGGCATTGTCGCAAACACAATGCAAAGTACGTGACATTCCGTGAAGTTAGCGCCGCTCCGGGGACTGTACGACATCTTCTGGCGTGACAGTCCCTCGGTGTCATCCATAAGCAGTGCTGAATGGCCAAACAGATTAGGGGGGCGTTTTGCATTTATTCTACAATTCTTTTGCATCGGCGAATTTATTCCTTCTAAATTTCAGGGAAGTAATTCATTACTTTAGGTAACTGACCAACAAATGAAATAACTAATTCTGATACTGTAAACTGAAGGATCAAGACCGCCGATATCAAATTTTACCGTTGTACACGATTTTGAGCCACTTTCATTCACCGCGCATTGACACAACGTATTTCATTAACCTAGAATCCGTGCAATTTTACCATCGGAAGGCGTTTAAAGGTAAACATCAGTTTTGCTGCACTATATGGAAGTGAACGTACATGGATGAGTATTATTTCCACAAAGTAGCATACAATTATATGATTAAGTAATGTACATACAAATAAAATTAATACTTCCCTTTGTTTAATTAAAGAATGTAATAGGATTTCGTACACTGCAATGGTAAAATCTCAAATAAGCTCTTATATCAAAATTATAATAGCTGTGTTGCATCATATAGAAATATATGCGTGTAGTAAGCCATGGCTAAATGATCACTTATTAACACTTGCCTATTACGTAGACAGATTACAGGCTTGCTTGTAATCTAATTCTAATAAAAGTAAAATGTAAATAAATTCCAGTATTTTATATATTTATAACTTATTTAACGACGTTTTTCAGTAGCTGAGACTACATAGCGTCTACGAGAGAATGACAGTGAATAATGAATTTAACGGATGTGGAAGGAAGCGGTCGTGGCCTAATGCAAGGTACTATCCCGGCATTTGCCTGGAAGGACTGAGGAAAACCACAATCTCCGTAGTTAGGATAGCCGGTCTCTGAGTCGAGATTTGAACCCAGGAACTCCCGAATACAAAGAAGGACTTTTAACCACTTGTGTAGCCTGGTAAAAGTTTACCGACATTTCAGGGGTGCTTGCTTCTAACATATTATACGGTGTAATAATGCAGAAAACATTACAATAAGTAAACCCGTTTGCGATAGTAATCTGATTTAGTAGCATTTTCATTAAATTGCCATAAAGTTTCAATAAATTGCCATCATTTATACACAGGTCGTCCACGAGATGATAAGAAAGACGAATGTGGCATCGAATCTTACAAGTTTGAGAACCGCTGCTTTAGACTAATGGCAATCAGACACAGGATATATTGCGATGTCAGGTTCCTCGTATCTCTACTTGCACACATCTTACTCGCTTTATTGCCCTAGACGGTCACAGCGTTTAGGAGCCAGTCTGAGTCGCTCTCACAGGGCGCGTTAATTGGCGCTGTCTTAGGGCTAGCGACCTGCTGTTTATGCGGGCATGATCAATACTGACCGCTATTAGCCCTACTTATTCTTATCTTATTACTTCATCCAAAGGTTTTGAACCTAATTGTCCCTACCCGCGTCCCGGAGCTCGTATGCAAATTAATCTCGTGTTAACAACAGACACAACCATATCCTAGCTTCCTATCTGTAATCAGATTGATTAGAGTTTGAACTCCACAGCGAATTTCGTTTAGATGCTTCGCTCTAACTCCACTGAAGTCTTTCTTCAGAGGGAAATTGTTAAACGTTAAACTCCGAATTCCTTGCTGTTACAGGACCCGAGTGGTCATTACCATCATAATAGCAGCATGTCAGTGAAGCCTTTACTGAGTTGGTTCAACCCAAATCAAATTTCACGTTAAAAATATCACATACCCTTTTATCTCCAACGTGGAGCATAGGAGCCTCCATTCGGAAGTAGACATTTCGTAGGGACTTCGACGAGTGATCAGGACCATCGCAAGGCCTGTACCAAAGACATCGTGAGAAATGGCCGTTCAATTTTGCCTACAAACCATCTAATTCATGCTCGTAAGGTTCTTTTACATGCCGTAAATCTACGACTTCGGACAGCCCGCTTTACTTCCCCTCCGAAGGAAGTCGTGCTACGGATTTTTATCAACCTTAAAAATCCATCGACATCGGCCGGACATAAAAAATATGGAAAAGTTTAAATATTTGGAAACGACTGTAACAAATCAAATTTTAATCCTCGAAGAAATTTAGAGCGAATTAAGTTCGAGAAGTGCTTGCTACCATGCAGCTGAGCATATTTTGTCTTCATATGTGAAAATTGCGAAAACTAAAATACCTTTAACTATAATTTTGCCTTTTCTTCGGTATGGAATAAAAGTTGGTGTGTTATGTTAAGGTAGAAAAGACAGACTTAAGTGTATCTAGGAACAGTGTACTGAAAAGAATATTTGAACCTAAGACAGATGAAGTGACAAAAGGCTGGAAAAGGTTACGTAATAATGATAATTTGTATTATTGTCCAAATATTATTTGGGTCGTCAAATCAAGGAGGATGCGATGTGTGGGAATGTAGCACGCATAGAAATATGATAAATATTAGATGGAAAACCTCAGGGGGAGATACCGCTCGGAAGACCTAGACGTAAATGGAAAGATAATATTAATATGAATCTTCGGGAAACAGAGTGAGGATCTGACATAGAATAGGGACCTATGGTGGGCTCTTGTGAACACGATAATGTGCGTTCAGATTACATAAAAGGCGGGGACATTGCCTAGCTAAGCTTACTGTTAGCGTCTAAAGAAGGACTCACTCCATGGAGTTAGTTAAAATAGCTAGATCGTTTAGTTAAGTCAGACTTAATTTATTTAACTACAATGTAAAGTAAAGTAAAGTTTGTCCCACTATACGCCATGTAGGCGTTTGGGGTGAGAGGAGGTATAGCTCCTCTCTTCCTTGACCTCGGCACTAGATGGGGGTGAGTGGTCAGCATCACGCCCCGGCCGGCTTTACCCCCGGGAAAGGACCCCGGTACCCATTGTAGAGGAGGCTGGGTGGGCCCCAGAGCCGGTCTGGACGAAGAGGCTAGAGGAAAAATCCTCTGCCCCCGTCGGGGATCGAACCCCGGTCGTCCAGCCCGTAGCTAGTCACTATACTGACTGAGCTATCCCGGCTCATATTTAACTACAATAAAATACTTAATTTGAAAAAAACTACATGGGACCAGTAAACTACATTTATTTATTATTCTAGGTCAAATAGCATCGGGTGAGAGTGGCAGTAAGTAGTGAAATGGAAAGAGACAAATGTGAAAAGAAGTGGTCATGGCCTAATTTAAGATACTATCTTGGTATTTGTCCACAGGGACTTTGGAAAACCCTCAGTCAGGATAACCGGTCTCCGGGCCGAGATTCGGAGATCTCCCTAATACGAGGCAGAAGTGCGTACCACTCAGCTTCGACGCTCGGTGTGTATAGAGTGGAGGACGATGGGATGAACGACTGTAAGTTTAAATAAAAGCTTTAGATTTCTTATAATGGTACATACACAAAGAATAAATTATGGAGATTTGTCTTTTATGAATTACACGCTCAATATGACAGCCGTTCTGTCGTGCAACTTCCGAACGACGGCAAACGTCCTCCATAATTTCACCGCGCATGTGAACAATCCAATAGGAAAATATTTACATTAATATAATTGTCACATATCGCCACACAAGTATTTTAATCATCGTCTTTTAATTGCAGTGTAATAGTACTATTTATTCTCTTTAATAAATATTACGAAATTAAGGAAGATGACTCAAATGGGATATGTAGCACGCGTGGGCTAGAAGAAAAATTAGGAGGTCTATATTAACTTTTGATAATAAACATGAAAGGAAGGGACCACTTAGAAGACCTATGCGTGATGAAAGGACAAGAGTAAAATAAATATTGTGCGGTGACGATTCGTCAGACTCAAGATAGCGATTCTGAGTACTCATTCTTTTAGAGAGAGAAAGAGAGAGAGGAAGGAAGTAACTCGGCTTTTCGCCCTAAGGCAAGAGGTCAATTGAGGACGTTTAGAAACAAGACGATTAGGAATATACTTGGACCTAAGAGACAGACGCTAATAAGAGGCACAAGAAAAGTGCACCTTAAAGAGCCCCGAAACTGGCACTGTCCAAACAGTGAAAGCAGATAAAATAGGCCTACAAGCCTTCACGGGAATTTTCTAATTTTTATTTACACATTTCCAGTAATGTAACATACATTTTGTCAAGGGATCTTTTTCAGTTTCTTCACCGTATTCTCTTCACAGTTAGCTATAAATAGTTTCATTGTGGAAGCAATGCACAGAAGAATTGTCTATTTTGTGCTTTGTTCCAAAACCGTCCATGACTCGTGTATGACGTCATATGTAACTTCACTGAACAAAGTACGTATGAGGCCTGTGTAGTATCACTCTATCAGTACTACACCAAATGTTTTCAGATTATGTAGCAAGTCAATTTCAGTTTTATTGTACTATGATCAGTTAATGACCTAACATGAGATTTAATACCAATTACAGCTGTTAGCTTGTCATAATGCATAAAATTTGTTATCTATAATACCTTCACATTCTTATTTGTCCAATAACTTGCAAATTACCTTTTGTGGAATGATGGTTCTTCCTCTGTGGCAGACATCCTTATTCAATATTCTGTTATTTACAATTTATTTGTGTCGGTTATTATATTTCCCTACTACTCCGTCACTAAAATGTCCATATAAACTTTTCATTTTATTTTAAATTCTGAGTATACAAGACAGAAAATTCACATAAGATGAAAGCATTATGCTGTACAGGTTACAAATTAAAACGACTCCTAACCCCATTCGAAATAGAACGTGTCACCATGACCTACCTTCAATATGCTGACTGTGTTTTCTCAGCTACTGATGCACCCCCGTTGACCACATACAGCCTGGAGTGGTTACTGAGCTGCACATTCTATTTACACACGCTGATTTTTATGACTTTCACTACTTAAAACTGTCAAGCATAAAATAAGAATGGCGACGTCTTGTTGTTGTTCAGCTGTTGGGGATAACCTTCAAGTGATGCTGGGGTTGTACTACTGGTTACACAGCTATTGGTGTCGTGGTACACGGTTGCCAACGTTTGAGTTTTTAAAATCATTTTCCGAAATAACGAGTCTTAGAGCCATGAAACCTAATGTGGTTCCACGACTTATTCTGGAAAAAGACTAAGAAAAGAGAGCAATGTAAAATTTCACTTAGTACTTTAAGAGTAAAATTTGAAAAGTGACTAAACTATTCAAGAATATCAAATATAATTTAGAGCTCATAACAGATTGACACGTATTTATTCATAAAAATGCAATAAATATACATGTTATTTACAAATTGAAGTGTTACAGTTTCTGAAAATTTATGCTGGTTAAATAAGTAGGAATTTTAAAGCCACAAATAGACAGGACGTGTGTGATATAACATCTCGCAGAACCGTTGAATGATGGCTATAAAATATTAAGACAAATAATCGCATAATGGACAGCAGGGAACAATGTTGCTTATTCAATTGAAATGAATAGTTGATAATTAATTAATAGTATTTTAATAACAATAATATATCATTTGTTTCAATTTCAAAAGATGAAAAGTTTATCATCATTCAGACAAGTGAATTTAACAAGTGCAAGACGTCAGGATTTCTATTTTATTTTACAGTTTTAAGTGGTGGAATTTCAATCATTGTGTGTGCGCGCGTGGATAGAATGTGTGGTTTCACAGGCTATAAACATCGTAGGCTACTGCAGTTCACAGAGAGCGAGACACTTCTAAAAAATTCGTAGATAAATCATGTTCACTGGCAACAGATCACAGTCTTTTTTACGAACATGAGTTATTTTAATCAGGCTGACACTCGGTTACTCTTTTATAGGCTTGTTTGAAATTCAACACAAGTTTGAGAATAGAAGTGGCTCAGTAGTAGAACAATATAAATGATCCACGTCAATACGAATTTAAAAATAATGAATAAGCAGTGGCGAAACTTTCATATTAGACGTAGTAATAGTGAAGTTAAAAATAAAAAGCCTTCTACATCTTTTGATGATTCAGTGGAACACGGCAGAACCAATAACATAAAATTCATAGTTAGACAACTCCAGGTAAGCCTGCTAGTTGATGTAAGCGCCTGACTGGCTCAAATTGGCTAATGATGCGTTTTATCTGATCAGTTCTGCAGTGTGCCAGTGTATGGAGTACCACTGAACCACGAAAGGAAGACAGAATAATTTTTATTTTTCGTTTTTAAGAAGTTCCTTGTTTTTACGGAATCGAGAGCTTCATCACCGTGTTCCCACATATCCATTCATGACGTACTATCGCGATGCAGTTAAATTCAGCTCACATTTTGACATCGTTTCTTAGAGTTCACTTTAATCTTCTGCCACGCAGTTTAATTAACTGTATTCCGGCGCTGTCTGTCAAGCTAATTTAAATACCATTTACCATTTAAATGCCCTTTATATACTACGTCAGGACTTCTAAGACCTGGGAACACATTAATCATTTTTGTTGACGTTCAGACTGCCGGGTTATATAAATGAGGGCATTTTCTTGAAACTATTCTTTCAGTTTTATTTTTTATTTTTATAATTTATGCACTGAAGATAAAGTAGAATATTTACATTTCAGTGACAATTATTTATTCATTATACACTATTTGCACAATATATCAGAAATTTACGAGGGCCACGCAAAGTGCATCGGCAGACCACGGGTTGAATACCCCTGCCTTACGTTAAGTGTAGTCTATACTAGACAATGATTAACGCGACAGGATACATCTAATTTTACTATGTTGTATTGCATTTGGCCTGTCAAAGTTTTTCTAATATGATTTTACCAGTTACGACAAGGTCTACAAACTAGACTTCCCCTTATAGTTATCAGACTAAAATGTTATAATCCTTTCCAATTTCCTACTAAGGCATTACACGAATCTTCCTTTCATATTGTCGTTTAATTTCTTTAATAAGAGACCAGATGAGAAAAGGACATTTACAGTCAACTCTGTGAAAATGCATACAATCCTTCGGCAATTCATCTTTATTAGGTACTGCACTCGAAAACTGTGTAACTGTTAATAATTTTAATTTTACCTATATCAGAACTAAAATAAACCTACAGTCCACAGATCAGGAGAAAATCCCTGCTGGCAATTCGATATACACGCATGCGCAAGATTTCGCGGTGAGTGACGAACCATCCTAAAAGCATTCGTTCCACAACCACTGAACGAACAACAGACGACAGGCTTTCATGTGTTCAAATGGGTACAGCTTTAAGTTTACCTCACAGTGGCACAGTGATTTAATCTAGAATATTATCGCAACACCCGCAGAACACATTAGAGGTGCACTCACTACACGCTACTCTTAACTGCTTGATGTTTTGAGTCTGTGTGTAGTAGCGTAAAACTCTGACGTATCTCACTTCCCACCAATAGCAGCCCTCTAGTCCAGCTGATAAGTAACATTTCCCACGCACCGCACCAGAAACGATTTCCCTCAGCAGGATTTTTCTCGTGATCTATGGACAGTACTTAATATTGAGGTTGTGAAGTTGTATTTTTCCCAACTCGTGAAATGAGAAAATGGTAAGCCTACGAGGCTACGAAGTTAACTGTTGTACGTGTGCATATTATCGAAAACAGACAGATGAGTAAATAAATTAAATGTGGCAATCATCCAGTATTAGCGTGTAATGTATAGTGGCTAATCAGGCTTTGGAGTTCAAAGTGTTCACCATTTTATTCCATACAGCCAAATATATTTGCAACATAATAGCTGTGTCCACACATTAAACCACAATGTACTTACCTCTCTTATAATCCAGTGTCTTGATTGTGTTTCATGTGACCGGTGTTCTATTTGTTCAAGTGCCTCTTTCAACCGTTCAGATACCGGCTTGCTTGTCTACCGCAAACCAAATAACTGAATGTGAATCAATGTTTGACTACAGTCTGAAAGCTAATACCAATCATCAAGGCTGAGAATGTTCTTTGTGCTATTTCTAGAGCCTAAATAACAACCTTATAAACTTCAGTTGCCTTAGTAAGATAGAATGGGAACGTTCGGGTTTAAACCCCGCGTAGAAGACTCCACTGTACTCGAAAGTTTGGCAAATACTTGTGACGTAGGCGGCATGGTAGGCAAGTGATCTGCGCATGCGTAAAATTTTCCTGAGTGGAGAATATTCGTCTTTTGAACAAAGATACTTGTTACTTTCCGCTGCTTCGCTGTTCATAGTATCGTTATTAATTTATTTATTTTGTCATACTATAAAATAACTTCCAGTGTTATAAAGTATTGCCAGTAAAGTTTGTATCAAATTAGAAAAAAGCACGACGTTTACGGTCTGCTAGTAGTGGAGCACAAGACTTCCCAGGTTGCATACGTCGCAAGGATATCCTTAATTCTCGCATAAAAAAGTTTGTGCTTGCGCCGACAGTAGCAGGAAGTAGCCAAGATCGAAACTGCGCGACCCTGCTGTGAGATTCTTGCACAAAGATCTTGTGAGATTCAGCGACAAATCCTCAGAGTTAACCAGTAAGGATGACGTATTTTGTGACATCAGTGTAGTTCATAACCAATCAGACAGACTTAGATTAATTAATTTCTTGTGGAGGGATATTCGGAAGCCAAGCGATGTTTTGACAACAAGGGTAAAAAACTCTCCTTGTAAGAAACTAAAGATTAAAATAAAACTTCGCCTCCTGGCTTCAATGGGTTAGAAGCTTTTTCTCTCACCATTCGGGAGTTTAAGTGTCACAGAATATATTTAAAGTTGCGAGATAGACATTTGGAGCAAAGGGAGAGAATGGGTAAAATTACACAACCAGAATATTCATAATTTGTACTTGACAGATATTATTACAAACAAATTAAGGAGGATGAAATGTGGGGACGCTTCGTCTATAAAGAGGCATGGCGGCAATGTGCACTCAAAATTTTAATCGGGAACACTGAAGGAAAAATTCCACTTAGGAGATCTACAATGAAAATCTATCTTAAATGGTTAATGATGTTGATGGATTCAACTGGCTGAAGATAGAGTTAAGTGGTGGGCTCGTATGGACATTGTGATAAAGATTTAGGATGCATAAAAGGAGAGTATTTTTATAAGCAAAGCTACTATCACCCTCTGCTCCGTGGAGTTAGTTGGAAAGTAGGAGCGTGCAAGATGTGAGTGTAGAAGCCGATGTTGGTCTTCTGGTTTTAACACCGTGTAGACATATAGATAGAGATTAACGTTTCGGAGGAACATGTTGCTTCCATCTTCAGACCCGAAGATCCCAGAAGATCAATAGCGACTTGTATGAGCATGGTTTGAAACGGTTTGAGGCAGACATTCACAAAATATTCACAGAATATTTTAGACAATATAATAATTATTAATACCGATTTTCTTAACATTTCAATCACTCCTTGTAACATTATTGCTGTTATATTGCGCTAATAAAAATGACATGTTCAGATATGTACATGACACAACGTTCTGCTGTGAAGGCACTAAACAGTACTTGACTACGGCAGCGCGCTGTCTTCAGCTGATCAGGTCGCCGTTCTTGCGCAGTAGCTCCAACCGCAGTTCGTGTTCTCTCGCCTTGAGGCGCAGAGCCGCGATGCTGGAACTCCTCCTGTCGAGGTCTGGCGCCTGCCCCGGCACCGGGCCTTCCGAAGGGGGCACCGAGCTGCCCGGTGGCGCAATAGCTGAGGCAGTCGCCGCGGCCAGCAGGGCAGCGGCGTGCTGGTATTCGTCGCCGACGGGGCTCGAACCCGGCAGCTTGGGACGCTGTGCCGCCGAGATGTTGGCGAGGAGGGTCTGGAACGAGCTGGCCGCCGCCGCCGCAGAGTTGTATGTGAGGTGACTGAGACTGGGAGGAAGGAGTGGGGGCGGCGCCCCGCGATGCTGGTGGCCCGGGAAATGATGCGGTGCCGGGTGATGGCTGAGGTAAGTACCCGGTAACACGTGGCCCGGAGGTAGCGGAGGGTACGCGCTGCCCACACGAAAAGCAGCAGCCAGCCCTGCGGAACCTGCTCCATCAAACGGCTTCCGGAGGCTGAACCCGAGGTGTGAGAACGGATTCGGCAGAGATGGTGCCACAACTGCAGACGGTGGCGCAGCCGCCCCTGAACTCATGTACGGGTTATATGGGTGTCCCTGGGGACCGACTTTTTCCTGTTTCCGCCATTTCGCTCTCCTGTTCTGGAACCACACCTGGAACACAACAAGTTCATGTCAAGAAACAGTCGGTGCGAACAGGTCACGCTCGCTTTATCAAAATTCGGCCTGGCAGGCGCAAGTAATAAATTTATTAGAATCACGGAGTTCTAATTAGCATTACTAATAACTATAAACACGGGTTAAAATGTAACCGTATTAGCATTTTTAAATTGGATTTCTGGACTCAAAGATGTACACGTCTAACTAACAGATTTAAAATTAAACTAAGTTATCAGATTGGTAGCCTTGTACGCCAAGACTATAAATAAGAATTTAGATTTAAGATCTTTCTTTATAAAGAAACTCAGCTAGGTAACACTTTACTCTGTAACTAACACCATAGAGCAGGATTTTCTTGAGTAGATAGTGTCCCAGCTAATCAGTAAATTACACGCAATTTACGGAAGATTTACTACATTGTTCATAACAACAACCAGCCACCGGTCCCAATCCTATGCCAGATGAATCCAGTCCACACTATTTCCATGAGATCCAACTTTCCCTTTGTACCACACAGGAATTATTCGCTTTTTGCTGCAGTGCACAAAACAAACTTTGAAATACGATTTGCAGAAGAAGGAAAGGATCAAAGAAGTCAGTCACTTCAAGAATTCGCAAAATGTTTATGAGATTAGTTTGGTAGGATACCTATGTATGTGTACATCCAGTTATATTATTCAAGATTCCTCGTTCTTTTGACGTAAAAACGTCTTTAAAATCGATTCCGGGTGTGGGGAGGCAATCGCGCCCAAATGAGCGACAGTTTCTGTCGAAGTAATTTCAAACTTCAATAACTCTGCTAAAAATAGACATAGCGCCGCCATCTTAGTCTCATTTTAAAGAGGAAGGACGAACGTTTGTGCCAGTATCACTCCGACATTCGTGGCGGCCGAACGTCGCTAACTGCGCACGCGCAATAGTGAACCCACGATTTTCGACTTTCCGGATTCGACACGTGTCCATAAACGGGATCATATCTCAGAGACTAATTATCCGATCCGAGTGAACCAAGTGTTGTTTTGAAGAGGAGTGTATATGTTACAACTCATCCTGACCTCCAAGTGTGTATCTCAAAAACTCAGAAAGATACGAGGCTGTGAATTTGAAAAAGTTTGAAAATTTCCCGATTTTCTTAAATTGTCGCGGTATGTGAGGGCAAAGTAAAACCAGAATTACAAAAATCGAGCACGAATGCGTAGAGTACAAAATTCCAAAGAGAATGACACCGAAAACGCCGAGCCCGGATCCAAAACCAACGCGCAGTACTGCCGCGAATATAGGCAACGTAAGCGCGCTCGGACAACTCAGGCGGCACCTGACGAGCCTGGGTCAAGTATGAATGTGTACCAATTACGTACGTTTTCACGAAAATAAATGCGGCAGTGTCCGACACTGCCTATCAATTTTTAGTCAAAAATTGAGTTTAATGTAATAGACCGAGAAGTGGGAGATGACTAGAAGTGGTTCAGGATCGTGTCTAATTGCACGCTTTAATATTTTCGGTGAAGAACCTTGTACTGTCACAGTTGACAGATGATCAATAATGGTTTGTTGTCAGAAAGAGACAGAGCTATACGATTGTGATGTTGCGACATTGATTCCACTCGACCTTATACCTCATTGCAATGGCAAGAATATCGTACGACCGACTACATATTTATTAATTCATAACACTTATTACCACATTATTAATAGGCCTTCCATTTATTTATTCAAAACATATTTTCCTCGCGAACAATAAGTTTCAGTGTCGAAAGTCCAGCAGAATGACTTGGTAAGTTACAAGTTAGTGCAATCGCAAGAAGACGCGAACAAAACCCGAGCGATACTTACTGGCTACATGATTATATAATCAGAATATTACTTCGGCTCACTTCAACTAGTGTAAATTTTAATGTAGTTAGTCATAAATGTAATTAGCCACGTACTCAAGTAAATAGATGTACAAAACAGTCGGATAATACACAAAAAATGTAGTTTCGCAAGTTTTTTTTAAGATTATGACCAAAACATTTAGGTCCAGGAACTAATACTACCTATATGGCACTGTGTATTAAACCCATACGTGAATAGTTATCGAAACACAGTTTGTAAAATGATATAAGTCTGGAAGTTGTGGCAGGTGGTTCAAGGTGGATGTCAACAGCAGCTTTGGCGCAGCCCTTCAATCCGATGGCATCAGGCACTGCCCGCCACCCAAACTAATCAACAAAATACAGCGGACATTTTGTTTATGCAAATATAATGCCCGACAAACTATAGGCTTATTCCTACAAAAGTAACTTTATGCATTACCTTGCCAGAAATGTTGGCGAGGTGTGTGTGTGTGTGTGTGTGTGTGTGTATATACCAACGAACCCACAGCAAATTACCATTGATAAAGTTGTGGGTAATGCAATGGAAACTCTGCAATTCTGAGATAAGCTTTGTTGTGGAGTTGTACCAGTAATCGTGACTTCGTTCTCATTCTGCAGGCGACGCCCATAATGATTATATGTGATGAGAGACAGAAACACAAGCAGAGAGGGAAGAAAGGGAAAAAAAAGGCATAAAATACGAATGGCTTGCGGAGAGTAAAACGTCAATTACACGAATCCATTTGTTGGGACACGATATGAGTGAGGTTAAGGCTGGCCAACGTGCCAGTGGGTGTCACAATGCAATGTCATTTGATGGATCTGGCCAGACCACAGCAATCCGATAATAGTACAAGGGGATCGTACCTCTACGATGCAAACCATGTAATTTATTTAATTAAAGTAAATTAACTTAGCCCCCTAATATTTTTTTTCCTCCTAAGAAGCTTCAAAGTTGGCGGTGGTTTAAAACTCATGGGTAAGCGTCTGGGATAATTCCGCGGGTTTCCCTCAAGGGGTATACAAACCGACAGCAGAAAATAAGTGTATAATAAAGAAGAGCTGATTTTGCTGGTATTGTAGAGCAGGTGGAGGATAATATTAAATTGGGCCTTAAGAAGTGAGCACGCGAACTGGCTCGATATAAGGACTGGCGGTGGGTTTTATTGAACGTGGTAATGAACCGTCCGGTTTCATACAAGGCGGAGGGATTTCTTGTCCAGCTGAGTGTACTACTAGCATCTCATGAAGGACTCTGCTTCGTGGAGTCACGTAGTCAGATACGTAGGTACGCACTCCTATACACTTTAAAATGATGAAGTCAGGATTGGTTCTTACCATTGAATTTTCGATAGTTTCTGGACTAATAATTACGTGGAAGTTTTCTTCCCGTTTATTTGTACGTGGCCTCAAGAATTTAAGACTTCCTGTTCCTCCGATGCCAGGAACGACATGAGACGCTAATTTATCTACGGAGGAAAGTTCATGAAGTAGGGAACAACATTTACGTAAGCAGCTTAGCCGATTCGTGATTCTAACAAATAACATGTAAATGAAATACTAGTTAAAAGATTTATAATTGTAAGTTGAGTGACACTCACTATCCTAACTGCTATCTAAGATGACGTAAGCTGCATATTATGGCATTAACAAACTGCTTCATTATTACATTTACATTCACTTATAAGTTAAACAGCTGTCTTCTCGGACTAAATCCACGGAGCAGAGCACTTCCTAAGACGCTAACACATGCTCACATAGTAAAGGAATTTCTGGCCTCTAAAGAAACCCGAAGATGCATTTCTAAATACCTCTGAAACATCGATAAACTTGTACCAGAGTACACAGCATAACCCAGAAGACAGTCAGTGACCTCCAATGCTCGTAGGGATATTTGTGTTTGCCAGTGACAGGTCTGCGTTCCTGGAGAGAACGTGCTACCTGTTTTGTCAGAAAATGATGGTTCGTAAGCTGATAAGCAAAATGGTTTATTTGTGGTTTCCCTTATGACACTGTTAACAGCTAAGACAGCAGGCCATTAGGCGAACAGTGAACGACAAGATGAGACTTGAGGTTCTCAGGGCGGTGAACACGTTGATGCTGGTCTTCTGGTCTGTCATGACGTGTGGCCTTGTAGGTATATTCCGTTTTGGAGGAACAACTTCGTGGAAGAAACATCGGTGTCTACCTACAAGTCGATACTGGTTTACTTCTCAGAACAACAACATTAACATTGATTTGTTGGATCGTTAGTGAAAAATGAATTAGAAATTATTTGTAATCAAGCGGTCGTGACATAATTCATGGTACTGTCCCGGAATTTGCCTGTAAGAACTGAGGAAAACGGCGATTAGCCTCTGTAAAAATTTCCGATCTCCGGGTCAAGTATAGCGGAATAACTCCCGTGGAGACCCCAATGTCTGTCCAAGCACCGGAGACGGCTCATGCCAAGCGAAAACACGAGTCGTGCATATCATTGTCGGAAATTGGTATTCGTTGCTACTGTCCATTAGCGTACCTCCTTCTTTCATCATACTCTCTTGCTGTATCAGATCCTATTACTTCTCTGGGCGCAAGTCGCTCTAACTTTAATGCCGCAGTACCTTCCTTCTCTCTCTCTCTATTGGGTCGCTCCGAGCTATTAGCCTGATCGTGATGGCATCTTAATAGGAAGGAGCCCGACCAGCAGCTAGCAGCCATGTTCATAAGTCGGTACATCAACTCCCACTCACTGCAGCCAGACAACAGACAATGCATTATTATTTTCGAAACGTGGGTTCTTGCTTAATAATATTGAATGTGCGCCTATTTAAATTTTGATTTCGGTCCTGTAGTTGCAAGCTTAATATCATCCTTGGTGCAAGGAACAAAATTTAACTATTAGAAATTACGTTAATGAAAAAAAGTTGAGTTGTTTAAACATATAAACTTCTTCAATTAATGTCTTTAACTTCCGCTGACAAATTATATGTTCAGGAAACCACACAAAAACGTTAAAGAATCTAGTGATGATGACGTTCTGGGTTCTGACGCCGTCGTTGAACGACTCGTAAACCGTCTAGTCCAAACGGCGCCAAAACACAGAATGTCATCATCCTCTTCGCAGTGAGAACCTCAAATATCACTTTTAAGTAACTA